AATTTGGGCCATGGCTTCTAGTGCTTAAGTCCTTATCTATGTTATAGATATGAAAGCCAAACACGAGACCTGCACACATGACAGTTAAAATTGTTAGTATTCAAGTTATGTTGAAATATTTGGATAACGTGTACTTGAGATTATGTCGGGAATCTTTCAGAAAATAAAGTACAACTTGTAAAGTTCTTTATAATTAGTATGTAATTAGTTAAATTTTTAATAGAGTAGTGTCTATTATAATTTATTGTATAAGTAGACAAGTAACATGGGTAATCAAAAGCAATTAAATAATTTAAAAAATTCCTACTAATTGAGAGTAAGCTATAAAAAATGTTGAGATCAGTTAAGTAATAATATATTTGAGGTATGATAATGCATGCCTGGTTTCGTTTTTAATAGGTAAAATGTCGCCAAAATGCTTTAGAATAAATTTCCGAACCACTCTAAAACGATCTTAGCTATCTTTGGCAACTTCCTGGTTAACCAATTGCTTCAAACCCATTTATCTATCAGCTTATATTCATTTAAGAGTAAATCTCACAGATATGGTCATAACCCTATCACCATTTTAATTACTTAATTTCGAGTTTTGTTTGATTTCGTGTGCCCAGCCCCATTTTTGGAATCTTTAGCGATTCGCCAACACATGCCTAACCCAATTTAGAAGAGCTGTCAAAATGTGTAGAAAAGTAATCCTATTTTGTTGCTGTTGTTGAATCCCTCTCAAATGTCGAATTGTCACCGCTGCGGGTCATAAGTTTACCAAAAGGGGCCGCACCCAAAAATCAACTAAAAACCCATAAACCAATTACAAAACTCCCCGCACAATGTCAGTCAGTCAATGCAATGCTTTATTGGTTTATTGTAAATTGAACTACAAATAGCACAAACTACGAGCGCTACAAATGCCATTTAAGGCATGGACCCAGAGACAAGCCCTTTTTCAAGCGGGTGCTTCGTGTCTGAAGGTTTACGCATGCACTCGAGTGCGGCGAGGCGCATCTGAAGGGGGGGCACTTTTAATTTATGCCCTTGCAGGGGCACTGAACATTTTGCCATTAAGTGTGGCATTAAAAAAAAAGGGACTTAGCCAATAACAAAATGATAATATAGTTTAGCTCAGAACGATAAACTGTTCGTCAGCTTGATGATTGTCTTTATCGTTAAAAGCAAAAATCGATCAAATCTCCATATTTTGCTATATTTTAATTAAGAGCTGGTTTTTCACAATTCTACTTTTTATTGTGAAAAATAAATGGAAGACTTTATTTGGGGAAATTCAATTCATTCTATTTTTATTCTTCATGTGAAATATTAACCACAAGGTATAATTTATACTTAATGCTGCCCATTACTTAAAATAGTCTATATAATCTAATTAAAAAATGATCATTAAAAGGACTGCTGGTACCTATGTATAACTACATATAGAATTAATGACTATCTACTGGATATAGATCTATGCGCTCTTAAACCATGAAAGTCGCCCATAAGCCCGTATGCTATTCATATTCTCTATACTTGCAATTAAAGTCTAAGGTCCAGTTTATGTCATATTCATCTTCTTTGTTTCTAGGCCCATGTTTGAAGTTTGCTTTATCTAATTTTTGACGTATCTTTACAAAACACAGTTAGTAGTTAGTGTATGCGATATTCGCCACCCGTAAGCAATTTGTTCTTTGCATTTCTCTATCATTTTAGCTGTCTTTTAGCGACACCCACCCAATGAAAACGGCATAGAGCTACGTCATTTGGGCGACCTTAGCTGCTGACTGCTGGTGGTAGCTGGTTGGCAACCGCAAAGGCAACTTCCTGGTAACAGCTTCCACATATCAAGCTGCCAGGCAGACAGTTAGTCAGTCAGTCAGTTAGTTAGTTAGTCAGGCAGGCAGTCTAGCAGTTAGGCAGGCAGTTAGCCTGATCACGAGCCAATCCGGAAAAGCAGGAGACGCGACTCGAAGGCAGCCTCTAAAGCGGTTTGCTGATGAAGACTTTTGCGGTTAGTAGACTGCCAGTAATTTGTTAGGCTAGTAGGTATTATAAACATGCATAAGTGCATATCTTTTTTCTATCTGTCTGTCTGTGGTGCCGTCAACCACATTACCACCGGCTGATCATCAATATTTTGCATCATAATGTGCAGATCCAGTCACATGATATGTATGTAGATGCCATAAGTTCCGCATTAGGCGCGCTCTCGGCTCGGTTTTGTCATTTTCGTCGGTTTGCGATTGCATAAGCTGCCCCAAGTATCGAGTACTTAAGTCATGTATCTGACAGCGCTTTGGCCCAAAACCTAAAGGCAAAGGTCAAACTTGTTTAAGTGCACTTTAGCGGAAAATGTCACTGCACACGCTGGCACTCAAAAAACTTGCGAGTTCCATGAGTTAGCTCAGTCCCCCCAGCAAATGATTTTTCCACTCAATTTCAATTGTTGTTGCTAAAATAAACGCTAAGTGAATCGCACCCAACAAAGTCGGGCCGTTCCGAAAATGAAATGAAAATTGGCGCATTGCAGTCGCTTTTTTTTTTTTAGCATTTCACTTCTGGGTGGGGGAAAGCAACCCCACAAAATAGTCGAAAACAAAAATAAAAACTAAATTTATGATAATTGCAGAAATATTTATCAATTTAAGGTTGTGGTAGACACAGTTCTGAACCCTCGCATTGCTATTGTTGCTGTCGGGGTTGAAATGTGTGGATTAAGAAACGTATACAAATCCCTACAAGTCTTAAAGTTTTACAAACGAGTGAAGAGTTTGGCAAATACGAATATGTTTCTAAGCAATCTGCGAATGTTGCACTTTAAGTCGAGGTACTTAAGAAACAATTTTCCATCAATATAATTGCAAATGAGTTTCTTGAACGTAAAAAAAATTATAAGTATTAAGCTCATATTACCTTAAAAATCATAAAAATCTTTAAGCTCACATATAAAACAACAGTAAATCCGGCGCTATTTATCGGGTATCTATATTACTTTAGTGCTGAATTCTGCAATAATTAATGAGTATTGTATTGTATTGTATTGTATTACTAATTAATAACTAAATAACTAATAATTAATAACAAATTAAATGCATTTATCCTTAGCTCATTATATCTGCACTTATAGCATTGGTTAAAGGGCAGCCCAGTTAAAATTCCCAAAGGGTTCTAGTGCGCCTCTCCAAATCGGACTGCAGACTACTTAAGGGTATTCCACAAAGTGGCCAACAAAATTGATCTCTTACTGAATTTTGTGGCTCTCATGAAATAGTAACAATTTACAACTGTAAACAACCTTTGTTATAAAATGCATTTAGATATGTTTATGCACTTATCCCAAAGGTTAAAGGCGGCGCATTTATAATTCCCAAATAGTTCTAGTGCCGCTTTCCATATGAGACTACAGACTACTTAAAGCTTTTCCACATACCGTGACAAAATGCTAGAAAATTAAAAAAAAAAAACTCAAAATTTTAGCAGGCCATAAAACAAAATGGGCAACAACAGCTGCCAAGGCATAATGTGTGAAAGTGTTGTTGTTGTGGGCATTGTTGATAGTTGTTGGCGATGCAAGCCAACAATTTTACGGTAATTTACACAGATGCTACGGCCGGACCCGTTCCGTTCCGTTCCATTCCGTTCCCCAACAGACACCCTTCGGCCAGGCCGAAGTGCGAAAGTGTTTTAAAGAGCCCACGAAGAATGCATTTGGACTGATGTTTCCCACCGTGGCCCAAAAGGTAGGTAGAGGAAATGCGCAGGCGCAGAGAATTCACATGATGATCGTTAGTAGATGTTGTTGTAGCTGTTGCTGTTGTTGTTGGTAGTTTTTGGGGGCAGGCATGAATTGGTAGGTAATTAAAACTACTCGCAACTGCAACAGCTAAGGCAACACGGCGGCTGCATTTACCACAGACAAAGCAGCCGCTGTTGCTGCCTCCGGACGCCGAAGTTCGTAACATGGAAGCGCGAGTTTCTCTACGCCTTCATTTTAATGTATCTTTTAGTTAGCTTCAGTTGTTGTTGCTGGTTTTCAATTAAGTATTGCTGTTGTTGTAATGGGTGTGAGTTGTTGTTGTTGTGTTTTTTTCTGTATGCATGTGAGAAATATGCAGCCTACTCAATGGAGGTCGTTCGTTATTCTCCCTGCTTAGCATAAGGCAATTCCATTGTCTTGTATCATGTGAGAAAACCTCTGCATTCTTGGAGTACCCTCGAATTCTTGTAATTATAAGAATTAAATAAGCAGGGGCCTATTAGAAGTGGGTAAGAAAATTGTAATAAACATAGGCCATTTTCTGCATAAGGTTTCCTATAATATGCGGGTAGCATAGAAAAAGTCCAATCATAATATTATTTCTTGCGAACAATAGTATGATGTGTAATTAGAACTCGCGCATTGTATAGAAATATGTATGTGTACTTGGGTAAATATAAACTAACCAAATCTTAAACTAGAATTTAGATTATTTTTAGACTATTTATTATACAAGCTGCATGCAATATTAACAAAGTATTAATAAAAAGAAGCCTGTCAAAACATTAAAATGTAAAAAATAAAAAACCTTAGGTAAAGGGCCTATTTACATGCATATATAATATCTATATATCTATAATTATTTAAAAATAAATAAACTTGTAAATATATTTCGAAATAACAATATTATTGTAACTACAACTTTTTAGCTAATCAGTCAATTTGATTGATTTGTATATTACTTAAAAAAAACTATAACTATCTGATATTACCATAAATCATTAAAACTTAATTAAAACTCGATGCGGAACCTTAAAAGAAATAACAACGTACTGCCCACCAAGACCGAAGTGAGCTCATTTACGGAGATTTAACGAGCCATAATTCTAATCTGTAATCGGTAAGCACTCGGAAAGTCCAACTGTCTGTGGTTTTAGTGTGGTTTGGTGGTGACACACGTGAAAGATTTCAAACTCTTAACGAGCCATAAAAACGAGCAAAATAAAAATAAAAGTAAAAATGCTTTGAGACTCACCTTTCTGTGCGAGGAGACGAGCGGCGTGTGCGGATTGTTATTGTCAAAGGCTGTAAACAAAAACGAAAATGGCATTATTAAAAATCGGTTAAGGTGGATAAAATTGACAGCCATAAAAAGGCGCCCATATGAATATCATAATATCAACCTAGGTACAGTTATAGCGCATTTAACAATTAATTCATAAATATATAAATCGATAAATGTCGTTACGATCAAATTGCAATTAAGCTCTAAATTGTTTACCTTTCCAATTGCAGTTTTTTCTTCTCTTTTGTTTAAATATGCAAACTGTTTGAATTCCGTCTGCCTGTCTGTCGATCTGTCCCGCCGTCTTTCTCTCTGTTTCACTGTCTGTTTCTCTGCGCTTTACACTTCCGCACTTGATTGGCCAAACCCAAGCGGGCAAAAATTGTAACAAAAATAACTACATATAACTCGAAACGGGTTCAGCAATCATAAACATGTTGTGCAAACAGACGGACATGCCCGCTGCTGAGTTGTGGTGTGCGATTTAACGGTGTGGAGTGGGGTGTGGTGGGGCTGGTGGGCTGGCGTGGGGTGGGGCACCTGACATGACCAACAGCAGTTCAACGGAAACATACAAGAATTCTCCAAGCACAGATGCACTACTTCTAGATACCCTTTAGCACAATCTCAAGTGGTTTGATCAAAATAATATTATGGATCGCGGTTCCAACAGTCTAACTCAATTTTTAGCACCATTTGTGTTATTGATAGTTCGATAAGTCGATGTTTAAAGACCGTTATTAAAGCCGATCACTGTTAGTTTCGATAATCTTATCAACATTCTTTTCATAGATATATCGATAAATTTAATTTTGAAGCAAGGTTCGAGTACCTGACTAGTATAAGCATAAACAACGAGAATCCGGGCTCGATTCCCAGGCTAGTCTATAAGTAACCATAGAAGCCAGTGCTCTAAAGTTGATTCTAAAAGATCCAAAGAATTGCTTTCATCTGTCTATTATACCCATTGAATATTCGATAGACACAGGGTATGCATATTGTCAATGAGCCGGCGTCAATTGTATCATATGTAAGTTATACAAAATAATGCAGACACATGTATAAGTATCTCTGCTATAACTCAATCCACAACGTGGTTTGGCATTTTGCTTAACAATTAAATGCAATTTTTTATTAAGACCTGCACAAATTTAGTTGACTCAGCGATTGAATGTCCAAGTTGCTTCGGTTGGTTGGGTTCGATTCGGTACGGCTCGGTTCGGTTGGGGCTAGAGGGTGCTGATGGTGGTGCTGACCGGCCGGCTTTTGATTACAGAGCGAGATAAACCTCAGACTGACCACAGACCGGACGAACTCCATGGCTCGGCAATTTCGTTTAAAGTTTATTAAGCGTGACTGACATTTGTGAATTGTTTCTGTAATTGCTACGCCCAAAACATGCAATAAGTCACAAAATCAAACAATTCCCAAAAAAAGTTTCGATATTCGAAGCTTGAATACGCTTGTACATCTAATAGATTAAGATTTGAACTTTGTATACATGAAGATGATTATAACTGAGATTTTTACTCAAGTAGTGTACATATATAAATATATAAAGCCTCTAAGCATCGAACCAAGAAGTGGAAGGTTGCTGGTTCAAACTTCAACAGCAGTATATTAATATATTTACACAAGAAGATGTCATCTGTTGCATGCCGACTTGATAATATACCCTTTTTGTACCCCAGTAGATGCAGTGAATACAAAGTAAGTACTATCGTATTATCTCGCTATAAGAAATGACACATCCCCTACACAAGCCCAATGTAAAACTAATATGACACACAGAAAAAAAAACGTTTTTCATTCATTTGTACGTTTCCGACTAAGAAACTGATCTCTAAATTAAAAAACTAGTTTGCTCCCCGGAAAAGTGTGTAAAATAAAGTAATGCTTGTTTGGATCTGGTGATTTAACGCTATTAAATTTAGCAGTGTGTGTGATCTAAGCCCTTTTTTGTGTGTCGTTGCGGATACAACTTTGAACTTACAGGTCTGGTTGGGGTTGGGGTTAGGATCAGGCGGCAGCGAGAACACTTTGCAGTTTTTTTGGGTACAAAAGATGAGCTCAGCATGATATCATAATGCTGTCCGTTGTCCATCACTTTCGCAGGAAATGAGTTAACACAATAGTATATAAAGGTAGGCAGGGTCAAAAAAAAAATAAAGAAAAAAGAAGAGCAGCAGCCGCAGCTGACTCCCGAGTTGGGGCACATAAAAATTCCGTTGATGCATGGAACATGCCGCGACTTTATAATTAAATGAAAAAAAATGGTGTTTTTTTTTTGGATGTCTGTTGGTTCCACTTAATAATTAATTGACATTTAGCAAAGAATTTCAAATGAATGAAAGATGTTTGGCCATTTGCCGATTCTTAGCTGTCGAAATTTGCGTACATTGAAATTTATTAGTGGGTGATTTATGAGGCAGCCGTTACGCTTGGGCCTGAGGCCTGGGAACATGTGCTCAACGCATTGTTCGAGGAATTTCGGACGTTAGGATTTGAAAGTTCACAACGCTGAACTGATTAGTCAGGCACATGTGTGAAAAATTATAGCAAGCTGCCGAAATTATTTGAGATATGCGAGCAATTATCGTAGATTTCGGTTGGTTGAATTTGCTGATGGATCAGCGCGCCGAAAGAGTTAAGTCTGTTTGTCTGGGGATTAGCATAGCTTCTGGCATGGATTAAATGGATTAGCCTTGAAGTGAGCCACAAATGGAGACTTTAAAGGGTTTGTCTGGCAGCCGAAATGCCATTATATATTAAGAGCTGTTGTTCACAAGTTTTAAGATGAAAGATATTACAATTTTAGAAAGCATTTCTAGCTCGCAAATAGATAATCTTCTAATTGCAATTCGCTTCCTTTTTCATAGCGGAAAGAGAGTAAATTGTTGTTATAGATTAGATCAACGAATTTGTGACTTCCTGAGATGCTCTTCTGATATTTTCTTAACAATTTCAGGTTTTTTGCGCATTCTTGCTTACTGTATACGTTAGGCATAAAATTCTTATCGATTATGACTCATAAATGCGTCAATTGTTTAATTTCTAATTGGTGATCAAGTTTGGCGCATTCACCTACATATACAAACAGTACCTAGGAATTGTCCACACATTATCTTTACCTTTTTTTTTACACTAAATATATTGTCATTGTAAAGGTTCCCTTAATTCGTTTGTGGTTAATGTACTTACAGTTTTTTTGTTTATAATAAAGAAATGAATTGCTTGTGTGTGTTGATATTCCATTTCTTTCATAGCAACACAAGCATTTCACAGCGTTAACTTGTTGAGAATTGCAAGCGACAAGCAACGTAAACAAAGCTGATATTGGCTGTGTTTTACCTTGAACTCGAGCTACTAACTAGATCAGCATTATTAGATTTATAAACAATAAGCTTAGAATGTATCTATCAATCTTTTAAGGAAACGCTCTACTTTGCTATAAATCACACACATCCTATTAAGTATATATATAGAGTGAAAGTATCTCAAATTACGTTTACAGGGTGTCTAAAAGTCATGGGTATTAACTTTTTTTATTTCTAATTGGTTTTTTTTTGCCAGAGTTTTGGCCTTTGAACGCTTGGTGAAATATCGGCACACATTAGCGAGCTGAGTGATAAGATTAGGTTGCCAAAGTGGCTGCTTGGACAAGGCGAAAGATACTTTGGTGAGTGGGTTGCATAAATGGGCAATGGGAAAATGCAGCACAGAGTGAATTGTGAGACTCCGCGAGACGGGCAATACTTTCGTCGAGCCACCTGCCAAATCCAATTAATAATTATTATAATAATAAGTTGTTAATAAAATAGCATTTGCGTCTGCTGTTGACTTTCAATTGCGGCCCCTTTGGCGCCCGACCTCGCCCCCGCTTCAAAGCTCAATAGAAAAGTATAAAACATTTTCATGCTTATCTGACGCTTTTTCTTGTTGTTTTTGTTTATATTTTTTACCTTTTGCTCATTTTCGTAATAAAGTTTTGTGCACGTTGTTGGCTTTTTGTCTGATGTTTTTGTTTTAGTTGCTGCTGTTTGACCAAGTGGCCTTATGGCAATTTACTTTCTAATGTCATGAAAGTCATGTGCAAGTCAACTTCATTTCTTCGCTATTTATATATATAAAGTTTATATATTTTTTGTGTATATATTATTTTCTTAAGCACAGCAAAAAGTTATTTTTATTTAATGACTAAACTTTTTACCCACGCTGCCGTCCAGAAATTGATAAATAATCCTCGCGCACAAAACGCGTAATCTATGCAGATTTTTTCCATATATTTTTTGAATTTTTTTCTTTTTTTGTGGCTAAGTTGAAAAAGGTGTCAAAACGTAAAATGTCGACGGCTTTTAAAAGATAATAATCTTTTGTTTTTTGTTTCTAAGCAGCCGCAAGGGTAATCAACAAAAGCAAGAAATAAAAATACTGGAGGCCCCGATAATAACACCTATCCTAACTCAGTTGCGCGTTGAGTGTTGCAATTGCTGGGCTAGTTTTAATGGTAACTAATTAACTGCAATTTGCATTACAACAGCGCCCAAATAAAGGCTTATTAATCAAATGCGTTGAGAGGGTTGCCCCTCAAAAACCATATGGGAGTGACCTTTAGGCGCTGATTTATTTACAATTAGCCGCCTGCCGGCGCTTACTTTCAATTATAAATTAATTAATAATCTTTAATGATTCGCTGCAGTTGTTTAGCTTCATTGTTAATCATGAGGAAATGATCTGTCGATTAACTTAATTGCTCGCGGGGTATTTGGAATGATCATTAAACTAATTTCAGATAATTAGTCGAACAGTTGTGTAAATTTAATAGAATTACAAAAGTTGAGGAAAATTGTTGAAAAACTGAAATTGAATTAATTGCAATATAATGTTTTTTTCTTGTATATGTAATGGTTTTTATAATCCAAAAAACATTAGTGCAAATATGTTTTAACTTAACTAACACTATCTTAACGGTAAACATTTTAATAACAGACAACTGTATTTGCCACTCTTTTTGTTAACA